GTGGCGGGGGTGCAGGTGGGGAGCTGCCGTAGCCCTCGGTGTCCAGCGCAGGCTCCTCGGCCCGGTGGTTGAGCCGCAAGCCCCGGGCCTGCAGGAACTTGCGTGTCTTCTTGCTGCGCCGGGCGGCGGGCCGAGGGGGCACGGGCTCAGCCGCATCCCCGTCGCCATCGGGCAGGGCCACGAAGGCCTCCAGGTAGCGGCGGGCACGTTCCCAGTCACCGGCGTCTGGTCCTGGAGCCTCCAGCCCACTGCCCTGTAGGATCTCCACGCAGGCGGCGATGACACAGGGAATCTCCAGCAGCCGGGCAGCACGCAGCACCTCTCCCAGAGTGGCCCGGCTCAACGTCAGCGTGGCCGTGTAGGCGAACTCCAGCAGTGCACCCAGAGCCTCAGGCCCCACGAAGTCCAGCTCGCACACGTCTTGGCCTGGCCCCAGCCCCGGGCCCAGCCCCGCAAACAGCTTCTTGAAGTAGAGGCTGCAGGCAGCTAGCACGGCACGGTGTGTGCGGTACTCCAGGCCGTGGCTGCGTAGCGTCACATCACACAGCACCCCCAGCTGCCGCTGCTCATTCAGGCTGCAGAGCAGCTCGCTGCTGTGCTCTGGGAACGGGATCCCGATCAGGTCGTCTTCAGGGCCCGCCATTGTTCTTACCTGCGAGGGGACATGGCATGTCAGCACCAGCTGGGACAGACCCTCTCCACCCTGGGGTGCTGTGCGCAACCTGTCCTGCCCTGCCCTGGGCCTCTCACCCAGCTGGCCCTGGCACAGTGGGGTTGGCAAGGTGGAAGAGTGGAGAGCCCCCACCCAGTGGGTCACTGAGCCCAAGGGGGCTGCCCTGTGCCCCCAGGGCCAGGGCAGAAGCTGCCTGTGGGGGGCCATGCTGGGGGGGTGGGGAGGGCCACAAGGCGGGGGAGGGCGCAGCAGCAGGAAGTGCTGTGGCTGCACCGCTCACGGTGCTGCGCAGCCCTAGACAACCTGAGGAAACCCCCCCCCCTCCCCCGCGCAGTGCCGATGCCGGGGACGATAGGGGCCGGGGAAGGGGGCGCGCGCCCTGTGGCCGATTCCGAGAAGAGATAACCCAGTTCCCACGGCACCGTCCGGCCCCACAATGCCTGCCTGGGAGCTGGCGCAGGAGGGAAGATGGGGGCAGGGGGCCTGGTGGCTGGCATGGGGGGAAGCCCCCCCCCCAGCCCCTCTCCCTGGCTCTGGGGCACTGGCCACCCCCTAAAGCCTCCCCAGCTCTCCAGTGAGGCCCCCAGCTGCCCCCTGCACTGGCACGGTGCCTGCCTGCCGCCCCCAACGCACCACCACAGCAAAGGGGGAAATCTCAGCACGGCGCCTTTGAAGCTGCACCCAGCACTGGCGGCTTCCTGCACCGCCACTCGCAGCCCCCATGCAACAGCCCCCGCAAGACAGCCGCACCAGCCCCATGGCCACAGACCAGCCCCTCCCGCTGGGGCCATGTAGGACCAGGCACCTGCCGGCTTCGCGGGACGCTGGGTCTCAGGTCCTGCGAAACCCAGGAGATGCCTGCCGTGGCCAGGAGCAGGCTGAGGCCTGGGCTGGGTACGGACAGGGCCTGGGGCCGAGCTGGCAACCAGAGCTGCACTCGCTGCCCTTGCTGGTGGGGTGGGAGCGGTGCCAGCGGCCGCCCCTCCCTGCCGCGTGGGCTGGGCCCAGCCAAGCCAGCCCAGGCCCCAGCCGGCCTAGCCCTGCGCAAACAGCCCGGCAGGTCCTACACGTCACCCTGGCAGGACAGGCTGTGCCCGACCCTGCACCTACGCTGGAGCCCCAGCCCGTCCAGCCGCCGAAACACCTGGCCAGGGGCTGCCCAACTCAGGGCAAGGGACTTCCAACCTGGCTGAACTTGGGGCCTCTGGATGGAGGGCTGCAGGGGGGGAGAAGCCATGCCAGGGACTCCCATGGCCCCACACCCCACAGCCACGTGGGCAGAAGCAGGGAGCTCCCCCGCCGCATGGCGTAGCCCCTGTCCCACTGCCAGAGGAGAAATGTGTCCAGAGCTAAGGGCTCAGCCCAGGACCTGGCTTGGACAGCTGGGGAGCAGGGGGCACCAGCATGCACCCAGCTCCCCCTGGCCACGTTCCTGGGGTCCTGCCCTGTTCTGTGGAGGATCCCAGCTGGCAACAGCCACGCAGGGCAGTGGGACATACCCCCTATTCCCCAGGTGCCAGGCGGTCGGCAGCCCCTGGCAGGCCAGCCTGGCCCAGCCCCCTGCGCCGCACCCTGCGCTTGGGTGCCAGCCAGGGGGAGCGGCTGCCTTCGCAGGGCGTCACCGGCTGTGGCAGCAGCTGCCCCTCCCCGCAGCCAAGCAGGCTCGACCGGCGGGGCAGGCACCACTGGGAGCTGGCCTGGCCTGGCCGGCAGCTGCGCAGGGACACGCTGGGCTCTCCAGCCGCCCCCGGGGGTTCAAACCCTGGGGAAACCCTGCCCAGCACCCCCAGAGAAAACCCAGGTGTCCTGGCTCCCTGTGCCCCTCTAACCCTCCAAGCCCCACTCTCCCAGAACTGGGGAGGACCCAGGGGTCCGGGCTCCCAGTCCGGTGCAGCAAGCGGGAAGTGCCACACACACGGGGGAGGCAGTGCAGGCGTAGGACAAGCACGGGGCAGGTGAGGCCATGTGGTATCCGTGGGCACAGATGAGCCGGGCTCAGCCTTCACGCCCCCTGAGCCAACAAGCCCCGACAGCCCCAGGAAGCTTATGGCGCATAACAGGGGAATAGCGGGAAGGCGATTTCACAGGCGGCTCAGCCCTGTGCCCCCACTCGCCCGACACCTGGCTCCAGAGCCATGCCCAGGGCCTGTCCCTGCCCCAGGACTGGGGGGAGCTGGGTGGGAGTGAGGGGCACAGGTAAAGCAAGGCCAAGCTGCTCTGCACCCCTGCAAGTCGAGGTGCTGGGGACCTCCCTCCGTGCGGCTGCCACAGTGGAGGGGAAGGGAAGGGTCCCACTTCCCACCCCCCAGGTGTGCGGCACTTCCCGCTTGCTGTAAAGGGACTGTCTGCAGTGGCAGAAGCCCTGGCCCCCTGCACTCTGCCCCAATCCCCAGCCAGGCCTTGGCTCCCAGCGGCACCGTGCTGGAGCACAGGCCGCAGCCTGGAGCCTCTGGGGCCAGGGGAGGAGCCGGTGGCCAATGCGCCACCACAGCACAGCTCCACCCCAGGAACCGAACAGGGGGTGTCCATTCTGGGGGGGGGAGAGATGGGGGCACAGGGGCCTAGGCAAGCAAAGACCCAGAGCAGAGCAGGGCGGCTGGGCCTGGGCCGGATGCTGGCGCCGAGGGGCAGGCCCCGCGGGGGCGAGCAGGGAGGGGGATTTTCCATCGCACCAAACCGCTCGCCCCCCCCGCCCCCTCCCTGGCACATCCTCCCCACTGGAGCGAAGTCACATGCTGCACCATCGAGGCAGATGCAAGTGTGATAATGAAGTTGGGGGGGGGGGCAGGTACGTGGGTGCACACAGCTGCTTGTGCCCCTTCCCCAAGCTGCCATGGCCTGGCGCCCACCCTTCCCGATGCCGCATGCCCCGGGTAGCAGGGGACGCGTGAGGCTGGGCCCACGCCCCAGCAGCACCGAGCATGGGGGAGCTGAGCTGGGCACAGGGCACTGGGTGCTTGGAGCTGCCGGGCTGCGATGGGCAAGGAGGCGCTGGGCTGGGGCCGGGTTCTGGAAGTCGCGTCAGCACCTGGCCGCTGACTTCACTCTTTCCAGCGTGGTGCGGCTGGCTCTGGCACCGGAAGGCCGGGTGGTGACGGGCTGCTCCCAAGTACAGGGAGCCGAGGAAGCAGCAGTGCCGGCTCCCCACGCCCACGGCCCTTGTGCTGCGCCTGCCACAGGCGGGGGGGGAGGGGGGGGTTACAAGGACTGCATCCCATGTCCGGACAGGCCCACATCACTCCTGGTAACCATGCTGCGGGCCTGCCAGGAACAGTGCCACCCAGCCTGGGTCAGCCTGACCTCTGCGCACTGGGGAGGCCAGCCCTGCCCATCGCTGCCTGCTGGGACGAGCTGCTGGCAGGACCCTACCTACCAGGCCCTGGCATCTCCCCAGGCACAAGGGGCTCTGGAATCGCCTCTCTCCAGCTGCACCAGCCCCTACACCCCACGTTCGCCCCAGAGACATCTAGGCTGCAGAACTCGCCCCCCTCCACCCCGCTCCCACCCACCTCTGGGGGTTGCTGCCCCCCAGGGCTGCAGCTGCGCCCCTGGGGCCACGCAAGTCCCCTGCCGCAGCCTGCGCTAGCGAGAGGCCCTGGGACAGGACGCGCTGTCGAGGGACTTCACAGCCACAGCGGGAAGGATGAGTCAGCCGGAGGTGAGAGCAGCGCTAACCACTGGGCCCCCCTCACCTTGGCTCCCCAGGCCAGGGGGGAACCCAGGAGTCCTGGCCCCAGCTCCCCTGCAATGTAGCTCGCTGGACTCCTGCTCCCAGGCCAGAGCCACAGAAGGGACCCAAGAGTCCCAATCTTGCCACTTCCTGCTGCTCTCCATCTCCTCGATTTCCTGCCTGGTGCACGGCCTAGTCCAGCTCACAGGGTGGGGGGTACTCCCAGTTGCTACCCCCCCGGGCACCCCCTGCCAGCACAAGGATGCTCAGAGACTCGCGTGGCCCCCATGCAGCCCCCGTACCACAGCCCCAACCTCCAGGCTCCCATCCAGGGCAGGGGGCCAAGCAGCCCCTGTCCTCAGTGTCCCCCACCCTGGGGCTGGCAGGGCTAGATTGGGGGGGGGGTAGTGCAGCCCCATCCTGCACCAGGGCCTGGCAGCCCCAGGCGAGAGCAGGCGGGGGGCGGGGGGTGTCCTGGCCCCAGCCCCGGACGTAGGGGTGGGGGGAGCCAGCCCCGCTCTGACAAACAACGAACACACAAGAAAGGAAATGGTTTCAAATGCCGAGGAAAGCAAAACCCACCTGCCCCACAGCAGGAGGAGCTGGCCTGGGTGGGGAGCCGGCCCCAAGGCCCCCGTGCCAGCCAGTACTCGCACAGCCCCCACCAGGTGCTTTCTCCTGGGACCCCAAGCCAAAGGCTGCCCCATCCCAGCCGCACAGTTTGCGCCTGTCTCCTCCCCTGCCCAGGAACATGCCCGGGGCACTGGGCACCCGTGCCCAGCAGACAATGCCAGGCTCCCCACTGCTGGCCTGGCACATCAGGTCCAGCCCACACTGCACAGGCACAACAACCCCAGCATCAGGCCACCACAGGCCCTACCCGGGCATCAGAGCCTTTTGGCCTGCCCTGAGGCCTTGAGCCCGGTTTGTGCTTCAGCTCCCTGGGCCCTTCTTGGGGTCGGGGCAAGAAGCCAGTGGCTCTGTGGGCCCGGGAACAGCCCACGGCCCCTAGGGCTTCAGCATCGCCCCTCCTGCCGGCTTTGCCAGCCAGCTCCCACCTGCCCAAGCCCAGCGCCAGTCCACGCCCAGGGCCACGGGGCATGCATAAGGCCAGGCTGGAGGGCACAGGCGGGACCTGGTGGATGCAAGGTGGGTCCCAGCCCTGCCATCCCCCAACTCCTGCCATCCCCAGCCCCCAGCTCCATTTGTCCGAGGGCACCACCCACAGCTTCGCCATCTGCTGGGACAGATCCAGCAGCCCCGGGGCCAAGGCGGGCATCAGCGTTGTGTCCCCCCAGCCCCTCCGCGGCCTATCCTGAACGGGGACAGGCCCCCTGCCCCCCGCGCCCCTCACCGGGCTGCGCTGTCCCGCGTGGCTGCCGGCTGCCTGGCTCGGCGCGACTCGTTCCCGGGGCCGCGCGGGCGGAGGAAGGAGGGAAGCAGGTTTGTGCGCTTGGCCCCGCTCTCCGCTGCACC